GGGAGGAGCGGTGGCGGTGCCTGTGAGCGGGCGGCCTGTGGTGCACTGCTGCCTTCGCCGAGCAGCTTCAGGCATAATCGCGTGCCTCGCAGCAGAATTCGCTTGGGACAAGTGATTTTTAACCAGTTTTACTACCTCTCAGTGTTACAGAATGATAGACCTATTTAGGTTGGAAGAGACCCTTAGGATCGTCAGGTCCAACCATTAAGCTAATGCTACCAAATCCACCACTAAAACGTGTTCCTAAGCGCCACTGGTTTGCTTGAACACATCCATTTACTTTCTTCAGATGAGTTGTGCTCCCCTCCTCGCCATACAGCTTATCATGTTCTGAGGTTTGCAGGGGTTGCTAGGCAGCCCCTGGTTTTGAACGCAGGTAAGTGCTTTCTACAGCACATAGCCTCTGCCCTGCAGCCGTTATTCCTTCTGGGATTCAACGTTGGCAGTTATTTTTATGTGTTAGCTCTGTTATGACTCCTGTCATGTTTGCAAATAGCTGAAGTACTGGGCACCTGTGGCTCAGAAGCGTAGCAAGCCTTGGCTCACAGCCAGGAATTGGCATACAGAGCCCATTAAGAGGCAGGCTGAGCATCAATCACACGTTTTCACAGAATGTGACAGACCCACGCTAAGGCATGCTTTGTAGCATGCAGGGGAGACCTTGAAGAGTCTGATGAGCTTTCCCTCCCTGGGGCGCATACAAGACATTGTGTAACAGACGAAATTGCAGGCTTCTTGCTTGTCTCTAGTCCTGTGTCTAGCAGTTTTTTATTGCCTTCCTAACTGCAGTTTATTTGTTTCCTCAGTATGTGCGTGCTGCAGTTGTGGAGGTCCTCTGGGGTTTTTCCTTTTCTGTTTTTCTTTCTAAAAGAAGTTCCTGTCTTTAAAAAAAAATAAATCTGACATTATTTTAGACTAGAGAAGAAGACAAAAATCAAGATGGCAAAATGGATCAGTTGTATTTTAAATTGGAACTTCCGCTACAACCTACAGAGCATGTAGTTGGTGTTCAGCTGATTCTACTCTTCTCCTACCAGCTTTATGTAAGCATTTTTGGTTTTGTTTGTTGTGACATACAGACCCAGTGTAATATTCCAGTAGTGGTTATGCAAAGGTTGAAAGAACCTCTCCATGTTTCAAATTCCTATCTAAAAGATTTATTTTACTAACAAATATTTCATTTTCTCTTCCTCTGCAGGATCATTCCTAGTCTAGCTCTGTTGTATATTTTGATATGTTTTGTTAGATATTTTTTTTTTTAAGCTGTATATTCCCTTGGGCTGTAGGGCATCATAGAGGGCAGAGATGCACAACAGTACAATATTGGTGTAGGTGGCTTCAGGAAATAACAGCCTTGCAGTAGGCAGAAGGATGAGCATTTTTACATAACCAGTTACTTTCCTGAGGTGGAGGTGCCAGCTGTTGCAGCAGCCTAAAAGTCCATACATTTTGCTTACTTAACAGGTCTTAAAAATGGTAATCATTTGCCAGGACCTTCTGTATCTTGTAACTGGGAGGGGGAGGAAGGTTTTCTAGGGAGACAGGAGAATAAAATTCTGATGCCATTGTATCTCAGGTGGCAGTGCAATTAATACCTAAAACAGTGAATAAAACGCTAGTGCACAGAGAACCCATGGATGCATCTGAAAGGAGCAGTAGGATAGAGCTCTGTTATTGCAGACACACAGGCAAGAAGTTGTTTTACTACAGAGATTGGGTTTAGTTTATCCAAGAGACTCTTGCTGATTGCAGATGGACAAGCTTAGCAAGCATAGCTGTGTGGTGGAAAAAATAATTCTTAAACCTGTGAGGCCTAGAGTAAAGGCTTGACAGTCCTAAACTTGTGCTGAAGCATTAGGTCAGTGATTAGTATCACAGAGAATTCTGATATTCACAGTAACTTTGTTATATAGTAGATATGAAAATTTTCTTTCAGACTGAGTGTTTGATAAGGGCTAAGGAACTCCTTGTTTGGTCCTTACCTGCAGAGCAGGAGTCCTTAGCTGGTTTTGACTGCTGAGTATTTTAAAGTGTGTCTCTAATGAATGTGTGTAGTTGTCTTGATGCTTTTCACATGTTATGGCAAGTCAGATCTTCTTGTCATTAGCCACAGACTGCTGGACTTCACTGAATTTCCTGTGGAATTTTGTTTTATAAAGTTTGTTGACTAACAAGTGAGATTGTTCCATTAAAAATTGTAATTCATATTTCTTATTTGGTGTTCCCTTGTTTAGTCTAATGTGATGATCTGAAACTTGGAAGTCAGGAAAAAACCAAATTCATGCAGAAAATCTGTAGATACAAAGAGGTAGAAAAGTGTGTTGTGTGTCTCCCCCCGCCCCTAAATTATTCTTTCTCTGTTCACCATTTCAGAGAATGTCAACACTTGTGATGCAGAGCATGGCTTTTCTTCAGTTTTTTTCTCCTGTGCCAGGGTCTCAACTCTATATGAATGGAGACCTGAAACTGAACCAGAGGCAATTACTTAACCATTGTGGCCTGGATACCAGATACAATGTGAGGAAACTTTTTTCCTTACCCATCATTTTCCCTCCCATTCTGGCAAGATGTTCATCCCTTCCATTCTGGCAAGATGTTCAGTCTGATGTTTATGTGCACTCCTTCAAGGGCATGGTAACTTTGCATAAGAAACTTGGTAGAATTGCTTTCTTGAAGAGCGGACAAATAATGCAAGTATCTCCTTGTAACAGGTGTCTGTGGTCAATGGCACAAGTCCCTTTGCGAGTGACTATGACCTAACAAACATCATTGCAGCATACTGGGATAGAAATGGTAAGCCTGAATGTGTAGCTGTGTATTTCAGGATAGCAGTAGTTAGTATATTGGCAGCAGTTCTCTGAGGATTTAAGTCCTGTGTTAAGACTGAAAAGCCCCTTAACCTGGATGTTTCCCTTCCCCGTTTCAGTGACAACAGTCTTTTCAGATCCCAACCCTGTTTGGATGACTGGAAGAGCAGCAGATACACCATTTATCATTAACGCCACTATTCGTTACCCAGTGGAAGTTATCTTATATCCTTTAAAAACTGCATAAACTGTGATGTAACTGGGTTGCATTATTTGGGCCTTCACATACAGGCCAAATGAAAACTGTTTTCTTGTAGACTTGTTGCTAAACATTTCCTTTGTTAGCTAAGCAAATGCTATAGTTCTGGGGTTAACTGAATACCTGTTTGCCTGTTCCTCCAAATGATTCTGCTTGCATAACCACTTTTTGCCTTTCTGTACTGGGAACCTGTGTGGTTTTTCAGCGTTAATAACCTGGCCTTGAAGGCAGTTTCTTAGCCCTTCACAGTGAATATCCTTAGTAAGTCTTGCTTTGCTCCTGCAGCACCTGCTGTCCCAATCTGTCATGGATGCCACTATCAGAGCATGATGCTGTCTTCTGTGACTTAAAGCAAAATCATCAGAAATCTGTATGCAAGATAAACTCACCAAATAATAACCCCTGTGGATGTGGCAAATCTGTTACATGCACAGACAGACCTGAAATTTTTTTTCTACAAAATAATTCTTCATTCATTACATTCTTCACTCATTTTCTCAGACAAGAGCAAGCCTGTTTTTAAAAGAATCTATATGGAGCACACTTTTTATGAGGTTTGTTTACCTACCTGAGTATTACCAATAACTACTTTCTGATGAGTCAGGGAGGAAGTAGCCATTCCACACAATTGGTTTACATGTCTTCTAGGGCAGACATTCTCTGCAGCTTTTGTTACCTACTAAGGCTTTTAGGGGTTTCCATGGCTTTGAATTTGCCACATGCTTTGAGGCTTTGAATTTGTTACACAAACTGCTGTCTAGTTTTGTGCCTTTCCACCTCTGAGTTCCTTTGTTTACTTATTGCAGTGGTAGTATCAGAAACTGCTTCATTAACATTCCTTGACTTTCTTTAAATATCAGCCAGGATTTTGGGAAATTATTAAATTTGCCTGGATCCAGTATGTCAGCATTCTCCTTATTTTTCTTTGGGTGTTTGGTAGGATTAAAATGTTTGTGTTCCAGAATCAGGTCTTGACTACAACTCCAATATCACCAGTTCTGCCAGTGTCTCCAGTACTGTCCTACAAACAGCACCAGTCCTGAGGAGACGCCTGAGAACACTTTAAAGAAATGCAGTTCAAAAATAGATAGCTGCTTTCATTCTCGAAATGCTTTTTACTTCCGAAGATCAGAACTTTGTAAGTGTGTTCCAAGTATATTCTGTTAGTGTTTACATTTAAAATACATGTTCTTTCATCTGTTTCTTTGGGAACACTGCTTTGGGATGGAAAATTTTTATAAAGAACCTCAAACAGGGCCAAAGGAGGCCATGAAGATGCATGCAACCTGGGATAGTGGAAGGTGTCCTGCCTGGGGCAGGGTGTGGCACTGGATGGGCTTTAAGGTCCCTTCCACCCCAAACTGTTCTGTGATGATTTTTTTTTTTTTTTTTTGCAACTGGAATGCACTTCAGTAACCAGTAGAAAGCAGTGAGACTACTTCTACATGATCTTAATTTTGTTAAACCTTGAAGACTGAAAATAATATGCTAATAGTAACAATATAAGCTGTTTTTACTGTCTTGTAAATCACTGCTCAGAGTTCTGTCAAGAGCTGTATGTACATGCATTTATGTGCACTATGAAATGAGAAAATATAAGGAATGTGAAGAAATGTATGGATGAGTTAAGGTCAGAGCCACACCTGCTATACATGCTCACTGATTTAGTTACTAAACTAGATGATGGAAAATTCAAGGTTGATGTGAGAAACTGGGTTGTGGGTGATAGGGTCTGCAAGGTTTGCACAATCATCTACTATTGGCATTATTACTGCAGCACTAGACCATTAATTGTGAATTTGAACTAGTAAAACAAGCCTGGTATTTGTTTAAGCTAACAAAAAAAACCCCTACCAGAGAAGCTTCAGAGTTCCAAAACAAGTGAATAGTTACTTTCAGAACTTAAATGATCACTTAGATAGAATTCAATCGATTATGTGGTGAGCACTGAAAGACTATGTCCCTCATTCTTGATGGGGGTGGTGGTAGTAGGGAAGATTTAATTTTATTTTCTCTTTCTGGGCTGGCTTTTTATGCCAGACAAGCTTAGAAGGGAAAACAGCAATATTTCCATTATGTTTTCAGTTTTGTAGTTAAGCAAAGCAGTGTTACAGCAGGAGAGAGTCTAAAACAATTGCAGATGATAGTTAACAAAATTTTGAGTGTCTTTGGTTCTCTTGAACTCTTAAGATGTGGTGCAGCTATGAAATGTGAAAGAGCAATTTGTACAGCAGCACCCCACCTTTTGGCTATTGTCCTCTAGAATTCAGCATCCTGTCATTTTAGAGACCTGCCTATTCCTTTTTCTTTCTCCTCCTCAAAATGGCCAGCTTCTTTTCAAACTTCTGTTTAAGCTTATTTTAAACTTTATAGTCTTGGAGCTTGCATTTCTCCAAGGTTTTACATGCTGGATGGACTCCAGCTTATTCTTCAATGCAAGTAAAACATTAATGTGGGGAGCCACGTCTTGGTTATCCAAGACACTTTTGTGCTTGTGAAACATAAGTATTTAGATGCGAATTGTAAATAATTGCAAGGAGCATTTGCTGTATATACATTTATATATTTTGGTTTGAAATATTCCGTTTGCTTTTTGATCTTTAAAGTCTGTACCTAGCAGCCTAGGACTACTGATAATTGGCTTCATACCAGAATGCACAGAGTCAAAGCAACTGTCTACTGCTTTTTAGTGTTTCTTGGCACTACAGAGGATGAACGGAAGGGCTGATATCTCGGGCTGATGTACAGCTGGTCTGCTGTAGTCCCAGCTCTTCTCCCTTGCAGTGGCGATTGTACTTGTGTGACTGCATGAGTTAATTCAGGGAGTTTGTTATGGTGAAGATCATCTTTGCCAAATAACACTCACTTTTCCAGCAAGGCAGTTCTGTGAGTGAACTTGTTAAGTGTCTGCACAAGCATGAAGGTGGGCATAAGCAAGGGATGTAAATCTCTGGAGCAACCACAGAATCTCATTTTAAGGGTTTGAGCTGTTGTACTTTCACAGAATGGAATGTGTTAACAGTCCTCCAAACTGAACAGAAGTCTGTTTAAGGTAGCAACTGGAATGTGAAAGAGGATAATGCCAGAAAACAACAGTAATATTGGGAGACTCCATTATTTCTATCTCACTTTACTCTCCTATTGTATCCTTCCATATTAAGGCAAATGATGCAGCTCAGCAACAATTCAGTGAATGCATGTGAGAGAAATTGTGAATAGGTCAGGTTCAGGAAATACAGAGAAAAACATCATTATGTTCCATTTTCCTTTAGAAGGAGAAAGCTGGAAAAAAATCCTCTACAACTATTTAAGTTAAAAGGAGGAAATAGTTAATTGCTTTCAGGTGACATGCAACTATTTAGTATGAACTGAAGCAATCCCTCCCTTTCTTTTGAAAGAGGTGTGTTTCATGACTGGGACTAATAGTGAATGCAGTGTAAAAGGAGCAGTAGAGGTAGATGTGACTACAGCAGGGAAAAAAAACCTGTTTGTAATACCTCTGCTGGGGTAACTTCCTGGATCACTTTTATACTGCCCACAGTTCTTGGTTCATAGTTCTACCTCCTTTTCAAGCTTGGAGAGGTATTCTGCTTCTGTAAGTAACCAAGCAATAGAAAAAAGGTAGGTAAGATTTTATGGCTGCGGCAATAAAAAGTATAAGGAAGAAACATACCTGAGAATCCACTGCCACTAGTATTAGAGGAGCTTTAGGAAGGAGTCGCCTGTCTTGGAAGGTTCTCTCTAAGGACTCTTCCTTTTAGCTTGCTAAGTAACAGAAAATAAGAAGACAAAACCACAGCACTGCTACACAGATCTGTATACTTATACGTCAGCAGCCCGAGTGCCGTTCATTGAGGAAGGACACAGGCGTGTGTTAGGATTAATCGTATTTCTGTAAGTGGTTCTCTAAGAGGTAAGTAGCTGGTTAAAAGTTCTGTGCGTAAACAGAAGCGGGAACGTGGGCGAGCCGTGCTCCGGGAGGGTTTTAGGGGGTGATGTCTGGATGAGACCCCCTCCTCCCGGCTGCTCCCTGAGCCAAGCCGAGCCCGCAGCCGCTTCAGGGCCTTGGTCTCTCCAAGTC